GCTGTCCAATCAAGGTTAAATCACCTAAATTAAGGACTGAATTAGAATTGCAATCACAGTCACTGATAAACCAAAACTAAAGCCTTAACCTCTGCTGGAGGTTTTCTACCTATCTAGCTTCTACAGTGTGACAGAATGACAAAGAGGAAGACCTGTTATCAACAATAACATTTATCTGATAAAGCAAATAAATGATAAAACTGCCATAGCTTATCTGGGGAAGAGTGTTTACGTCTGAAAGCTTTGATTACATTATGTAAGTGTATAAGGCATTTAAGAAAGGTCGAACTTATTTAATACATTTTATTTATTGAATTAGAAAACGGAGCCAGATCATCCAGCACCCTGTGAACTGACAGTTTTAAGCCCAGACTTTGTGATGGTTAAATGTGTCCTTGGTGTTTCAGGGTTTGCCTGTTTTCCACAGCAGCAAAACATCTCGATGATATAAAGTAACAAAGCGACTTAATCTCTCATTTTTGCAACGTTTACTTATAGAATTTGAGTCCAGCGCTCAGAAAAAACATCTTTTTGTTTGACTGCTTAGTTCTCATCCCTTTTCTGCAACGTGACTGCTTGTGAGGAATTATACGACTGAAGTAAAACTCAACAACTGTCAGGGTTCCTGGGTCGGTGACCCAGTGTTTTCAGTTTTGTCACGTTTAGGTTATGTTGCCACATCAATGTTCTCACTTCCTGCTTTTCCTGTGTCAGCTCTTCTCTTGTGTTATTAGCCAGATTATGTTCAGCTGTGTACTCACCGGTCTCTCGTTATCATCCTCATCAGTCTGTGTATTTAGGTCCTCTGTTTCCACTCGTTCACGGTCGTGTCATTGATGTTATGTTGTCGTTTTCCGCCTGCGTTCAGTCAGCAAGCCATTCAGTCTTTCAGTCAATCAGTCCTTCATTCATTCATTCATTCATTCAGTCAGCTAGCCATTCAGTCTTTCAGTCAATCAGTCCTTCATTCATTCATTCAGTCAGTCAGTTGTCCAGCCAGCCAGCCCTTTCCTACTCCTGTTCTGTTTGTTCACTTCGTCGACAATAAACACCAACCTTCACCTACCTATCTGTGAGTCCAGCATTTGGGTCCTCCTTCTCTCATCCACGACACTAATCCTGACAACAACACACCATCAGGCACGAGCATGTTCAGTGATCTTTCTATGCTTATAATACTTTATATAAATATAAAAGTCATTTATGATTAAATCTTCGCCCCTTCAAGACACTGTGGCATTTATGAATATTGGCACTGTAAATGACATCAAATAAGCTCTTATTTGTGGTGAAAGCAGGTGAATCATGAACTGTAATGAGTCTTCTTCACTCCACCAGGCCTGTCATCAGATCCACAGCCCAGTGAATATTTCAATTTCTGTTCTTTTGCATTGGCCCAATTCGAAAAGAACCCTACTGGGAAAACTCGCAGCACTCCAGATGGCCAGTCTGCCACTGGTAGTGAATTACAACAGGAACGGATCGTGTGATTCACCTTTGTGAAAATCATCATCATACATTCGGCTCAACGACCGATTCACCGACACGTGAGTGGCTAATGAAAGCGCACACCGAGAGTTGAACCACTGACTCTAGTGAGCTAATTAATCATGCTATGAGCAAAACATGATACTGTCAGTCTGATATGGTTCGAATCAAGGGCGTAGATTTGGTTTTGGCATTGGTGGGGACGGATGATTCAACCACCGAACCCTGCCCTGTTTCTTTTTTTCCTTCCTTTTCGTCTTTGCTTAAAAAAAAAAAAAGGAGAAATATACTTGCCTACATATGCTATTCTGCATGCTTTTAAACCCTTTAATATTACAATTCATAGTTTTATATGTGA